ACGCTTTGGATTTACCTCACCTCTTCAACCACAAGAATGTAGTACTCGGCGTGTACAGTTCTAATCGACCCCAAGACTATAGCTTTTAGCAGACTACGACCACATCAAGCTACAACGCTCTCGCTCCTCATCGAGCTACAACGCTCTCGCTCCTCATCGAGCTACAACGCTCTCGCTCCTCATCGAGCTACAACGCTCTCGCTCCTCATCGAGCTACAACGCTCTCGCTCCTCATCGAGCTACAACGCTCTCGCTCCTCATCGAGCTACAACGCTCTCGCTCCTCATCGAGCTACAACGCTCTCGCTCCTCATCGAACATAAGAACATAAGAACATAAGAACAAAGGTAACTGCAGAAGGCCTATTGGCCCATACGAGGCAGCTCCTATTCTATAACCACCCAATCCCACTCATATACTTGTCCAACCCGTGCTTGAAACAATCGAGGGACCCCACTTCCACAATGTTACGCGGCAATTGGTTCCACAAATCAACAACCCTGTTACTGAACCAGTATTTACCCAAGTCTTTCCTAAATCTAAACTTATCCAATTTATATCCATTGTTTCGTGTTCTGTCCTGTGTTGATACTTTTAATACCCTATTAATATCCCCCCGGTTATGTCCATTCATCCACTTGTAAACCTCTATCATGTCACCCCTAACTCTTCGCCTTTCCAGTGAATGCAACTTAAGCTTTGTTAATCTTTCTTCATATGAAAGATTTCTAATTTGGGGAATTAACTTAGTCATCCTACGCTGGACACGTTCAAGTGAATTTATATCCATTCTATAATATGGCGACCAAAACTGAACTGCATAATCTAAATGGGGCCTAACTAGAGCAAGATATAGCTTGAGAACCACACCAGGTGTCTTGTTACTAACGCTGCGATTAATAAATCCAAGTGTCCGATTTGCCTTATTACGAACATTTATGCATTGATCCTTTTGTTTTAAATTCTTACTAATCATAACTCCCAGATCCCTTTCGCAATCCGACTTCGCAATCACAACACCATCTAGCTCGTATCTTGTAACTCTATCATCATTACCTAACCTCAGAACTTTACATTTATCAGCATTAAACTGCATCTGCCAATCCTTTGACCATTTCAAAACCCTATCTAGATCAACTTGAAGTGATAGTGAGTCCTCCTCCGAATTAATTTCCCTACCGATTTTCGTATCATCGGCAAATTTGCAAATGTTGCTACTCAAACCTGAATCTAAATCATTTATATATATTATAAACAACAGAGGTCCCAGGACAGAGCCTTGAGGCACTCCACTTACAACATTTTCCCACTCTGACTTGATTCCATTTATACTAACTCTCTGTTTCCTTTGGTATAGCCATGCCCTAATCCAGCTTAATATAGCACCCCCAATACCATGAGACTCTATTTTTTTAATCAGTCTTTCATGTGGCACTGTATCAAAAGCTTTGCTAAAGTCAAGGTATACAACATCGCAATCCTTACCACTATCAACTGCCTCAACAATGCTAGAATAAAAAGATAACAAATTTGTTAAACATGAACGGCCATTTATAAAACCATGTTGCGACTCAATTATTAATTTATGTTTTTCAAGATGAAGACGAATTTTATTTGCTATTATAGATTCGAGTAACTTTCCCACAATAGACGTTAGGCTAATTGGTCGATAGTTAGACGCAAGTGATCTATCTCCTTTCTTAAAAACTGGTATCACATTAGCAACTTTCCAAAACTCTGGCACTCTGCCTGACTCTATTGATTTATTAAATATGGTTGACAGTGGGTCACAAAGCTCCTCTTTGCATTCTTTAAGCACCCTAGCAAACACTTCATCCGGCCCTGGGGATTTGTTTGGTTTGAGTTTTACTATTTGTTTAAGAACATCCTCCCTGGTAACTGTTAAACTCGTCAACCTGTCCTCGTCCCCACCCACATAGACTTGTTCGGCTGAAGGCATATTGTTAAGTTCCTCTTTAGTAAATACAGATACAAAATATTTATTAAAAATACTACTCATCTCTTCATCACTATCTGTTATTTGACCTGTCTCAGTTTTTAATGGACCTATCCTTTCCCTAGTCTTAGTACGATATAACTGAAAAAACCCTTTAGGATTTGTCTTTGCTTGCCCTGCTATGCGAACTTCATAGTTTCTTTTTGCTTTCCTTATCTCTTTTTTAACATTTCTAACCAGTTGTACGAATTCCTGTTCTAAAGTGACCTCCCCATTTTTAATCCTTTTGTACCAAGCTCTCTTTTTACCTATAAGGTTCTTCAAATTCTTTGTTATCCACTTTGGGTCATTAGTATACGATCTATTCAATTTGTATGGTATACTACGTTCCTGTGCTTTGTTTAGAATATTCTTAAATAAGTTATATATTGAATCCACATCGAAATCCCCATTTAAGTCACCTATCGCTGGGTTCATGTCTCGCTCCAAGACCGGCCCACACCCCATACCCAAGCCATTCCAATCAATTTGACCCAAAAAATTTCTTAGGCTATTAAAATCAGCTTTTCGAAAATCTGGCACTTTAACAGAATTTTCTCCTACTGGTCTATTCCATTCTATGCTAAATCTGATTTCTTTGTGATCACTGCTCCCTAGCTCACTCCCTATTTCGATGTCATTAATTTGCGTTTCCCTGTTAGTTAACACTAAATCTAAAATATTATTTTCCCGTGTTGGTTCCTTAATGTGTTGCGTAAGAAAGCAATCGTCAATTAATTCTAGAAAATCTTCAGCTTCACTATTCCCTGTTTTGTTCAACCAGTTTATTCCGCTAAAATTAAAGTCACCCATGACATAAATACTGTTAGATCTAGATGCTCTAGATATTTCATCCCATAGATGCTTTGCTTCCATTCTGTCTAAATTTGGTGGCCTATATATTACTCCTATTATAATATTATTAGCTTTTTCGTTTAATTCAATCCAAATAGTTTCTGTGTGTGGCTCTGTTTTGATTCCCTCTTTGAGACTACATTTCAAATTGTCCCTAACATATATGGCTACTCCACCTCCTCGTCTAATATATCTATCTGTGTGAAATAGTTTAAATCCATATATTTGATATTCAGCTAATAGTTCTCTATTTTCTACATTCATCCACGTTTCGGTAAGTGCAATAATATCTATTTTTTCTGTGCAGACAAGAGCATTTAATTCGTTAATTTTATTTCTTAGACTTCTACTGTTAGTGTAATATACCCTAAGTGAATTGTTATTTTGCGGACCTTCTCTTTCCCTGATCGTTTTGCCAATTCCTTTCTCCCACAAACACATACTTTTATTACCTCCTTCCTCCAAATCAATTCCCATACCTCTAACTACTAACAGTTTAAACCCAAACAAACACCTCTAACCACTTCTTCTAGCGAGTTCGCAACAGCAACAACCCCAGCTCTCGATAGATGCACCCCATCACGAGCATACATTTCATTTCTTCCATAGAAGTGTTCCCAGTTGTCTATGAAAGATATTGCATTTGATTTGCAATATCTTTCCAGCCGGCAATTGACACCAAGTGCCCTCGATATCCATTCATTTCCCACTCCCTTTCTTGGAAGAATGCCACATATGATCGGGATTCCTCCCTTGCTCCTAACTAACTCTATGGCTGTTTTATACCTCTGAATCAGTTCCTCACTCCTGACTCGACCAACATCATTTCCTCCCACGCTAATGCAAATAATGGGATTGTTCCCATTACCAGCCATAATATCATTCATGTTGTTTATAATATCACCAATGCCAGCTCCGGGATAGCAAACCCTTAACCTGTTCCCCCTATCTCTAGCACAAAACGTTCTATCCAAATACCTTATCTGGGAATCTCCCACAACTAATGTTTGCTTAGGTACTTCCTTTACTTTCTGAGGGGCCTGCGCTTCCTTTCTCTTCGTTGCTTTCCCTTTTGCGCGATCCACAGTCTCTCCACAGCACTCGTCCTCCAAAACGTCAAATGAATTTGAAGTTGCTATGGCGTTTGAAGGCGGCTTTATCAAAGTCTTCTTAAGGCCCCTGTCTTTCGCAACTCTCCAAGACGAGGTCCCTTTACTGCTGGTCTCCTCCTTCGTTACTTCTCGTTGTTTTTTAAGCTGACGCACCTCCTCCCGCAGAGAGTCCAACTCTGTCCTCAGGGCTCCCACTAGAGTCACCAGGTCCTTCACTACAACTTCCATATTGCTATAACAACACTCAGGAGCTCCGGTTAACACAACCTCTCACTGAGACACATCGAGCTACAACGCTCTCGCTCCTCATCGAGCTACAACGCTCTCGCTCCTCATCGAGCTACAACGCTCTCGCTCCTCATCGAGCTACAACGCTCTCGCTCCTCATCGAGCTACAACGCTCTCGCTCCTCATCGAGTTTAGACACACGATTCCCAATCGAGCTGCCACGCTCTCTGGTACGGAGCTCCGCGACTCCAGTCCTCACTCAGCTCTCTGCTCTGCTGCAAGCTCCGTCTGAACGTCTACGACAATGCCAACGACCGACTACTGTAACCAAGACTACTAAATAAATATGAAACTCACTAAACACTGTGTATCTAATGTACCCAACAACGTAACATAATCGTACGTTACAAAGTTATAAATCAATTTATATATATTTATATATAATAATATATAATATAGAAGGGAGTACCACCTCTAGCTGGAAGGGGGACCCATAGCCTCGGAGGAAACCACGCATAACGCATAATATATAATGCAAAAAATATATAATATATATATATTTATATAAAGCACAGGCTTCCTGTTCGCCAAAAACCGAATTAATTGTTATTATGTTAATGAAGGGTGATCGTTGAAAGGGGGGGGGGTGATGATCTGGGATTGGTACAGAGATTTGGAACTGTGGAACAGTCAAATCGTACAGACACATGTTGACGCAGCTTATTTTCTCTGTGAAACCCGTACATAAGTAAAGTTAAGCTGTGTTAAATTATATTACGTTGAACTGTGTTATAAATAAAGGTTAGAAAAGTTTTTAGAGAAAGGTTTAGTAAGAGAGGTGAAGCAGCGCGGTGGGTACGAAGTGAGCAGTGCGGCGGGCGCGCCTCAGCTGCGTGTTTACAAACTGAGGGCCGCCGCTCACCTCCCCCTCGACGCCTCCGTCGGCTCCCGGGCCTCCCACACCTCACCATGGCCTCCACCAGTGAGTATTGGACCCTTAAACTCCACTTGATGACCCCTAGGCTGGCTTCACCGGGTACACAGGGTGCTCAGGGGGAAAGCAAAGGCGCGGTGTGACCCCACACACGGGGGGACTGGCAGCCACCGGGGAGGTCTCCAACACTCGGGATATTGAGTGTGTCCAGTAATGTAGAGGGTTGATGTTATAGATTCAGCTACTCGGAACAAGTTCCAAGTAGCACGGGCTATGGTGAGCCCGTAACTTACCTGGCACAGGAGCGGGGCAAGTAGCACGGGCTATGGTGAGCCCGTAGTGGACTTGCCTGGGCACGTACAGGAGCGGTGTCCAGTAATGTAGAGGGTGATCTTTCTCCCTATGCGGTACTGTACACCATGGCCAGTAGGTGTAGTGTGCTTATATGGCTCTCAGGCCTCTAGGATCAGTTTTTTTTTATAACGAATTATAAAGTCATCTCGTGTTGGAAACGTGTATCTGTTGCACCATTATTTGAAACCATTTATGTATCTTATACAGGGTATGGTCATATTGGTGGGTTTTGCTTTACATTAATCTGATGACATGCTTTGTGGAATAATTTAGGTTCATAAAAAGTCCCTTGGGTTATGTAAAGGATATACACTTTTCAATAAATCTAACCTAACACACTGAAAGTAACATGCAATATTTTTATTTTTGCATATGTACCCTTAAATTCTTTTTTTATACATGTACATTTTATACATTTTTGTATTTATACAAATTTTTTTTGTATAAATACCCTTATGTACTGAGTGGTATCCAGCTTTACCCCTCCCAGTACACAATACAGTACAGTATTGAACAATTGGGAAGATGTTGATCAAGACAATTTCATGAAAAGGTCAGATTTAACACAAACAAGGAGTAATGGTTTCAAGCTTAACAAATCACAATGTAGGACTTAAAACAGGAGATGCTGTTTCATCCATAGCGTTATAAACCCATGGAACCGCCTACCCGCCAAAGCCGTAAATGCTGAAACTGTGCTAAATTTTAAGATCCAGCAGGAAAAAAATCAGGGCAAATGTTATCTCTGACAAGCCACCAGCTTCCTGTCCTGATCGAGGCCACTATAATGTTAGTGGTCCTCGGATAAATAAAGGTAAAACTACCAATTGAGTGCACACCTGGGTTTGTTTGACTTGAATTAGTACCAAACCACCACACAAGTCCTCTAGGTTTTTTCAGTGTGAGGGTTGAGAATATTTATACCAGTAATATATTTTTGAGAGAGATGCTTAGCAAAAAAATTGGGGGATAGCTCCTTTGGTCATCTGAAATTGAAGCATGTCTAGGTATTTAACAAATAAGAAAGGCCTCTTTACAAAAAAGGAGAGATGGATGAATAAAATAAGATACAGTACAATGTTGATTCAATGAACCATGTGGGACCAACCCCAATTCATTGCAGTAAGGGATTTGTTACAACTGGAAATGCCTCGAGGATGCATGGTCCATATTAAGGGCTACCATTCATACCTAATATTTCCCAAGCTCTATGGGCTGATTTCACAGTGAAATAATAATTCCAACCCTTCATATGAAGGGCAACAATAGAGAGAACCTGTCTAAACAATTTAACCATATCTAGTATATTTTCCATGGCTAAGCCTTGAAATCTGATTTTCAAAGGAAAAAGGGCCCATATTTTACAGAATAAAAACCTCTGCAACTGGAAAAAAAACTACTACTGTACATATAAAATTAGGGTTTAAACATGCTCAGTAGCTGTCCCAAGGCCCAGTTTTCTTATAATGTAGTCTCCATCTGTGAACTTGGTCCCAACACACTAAGCAAATCCACACATCCCCTATTCCAGCGAACTCTTGTTCATCGAATTGGGGGGACGAAATTCAGCATGGAATGTGTGTTCCAACTGGAAATTTGTTGAATCTTCGATTCCACTGTAATAAGGAGAATACTGTACTGAACCATATATTTGGGTTCATTGCCATCTGGTTGATGGCAATGAACCCAAATATTGGTTGGTTGGTTGATGGTTGATTTCATTAAATAAAATTGGTAAACCTTTCAGGTCCTAAATTTTCCTCACAAATTTATTGCCCAAGTCAGGTTTTAATACTCGTGGAAAGTAGCTGTGTCCACTTTAGCTGTTTTTCTTTCAGATAAAGGAATGTGGGCATCAATGGTGTCCCTGGCACAAGCAGTGCAGCGGGCAGTAGAAACTAGTGCCAACAGTGGAGGCACTCCAGAAGCCCTGGAAGCAGGGCATGACCTAGAACTGGCTCTGCAGCGGCACCGCACTTCATTCATTTCCCTCTTACGTAACCCACCAAAGAATGCTAATGAAAGGTAAGGTTTATTATTGTTATTGAAATCCTAATGCCAATTTTGTAATTACAGTACTGTATAACTATATCTATTTTACTCTTCTCTTTGCCTTCTTCATTACTTAGACATTGACAAGATGTATTTCGGATTCAGTACAGATACTTGGTTCTCTCCTAATGCACTCTTTAACTGTTATGTAGGTACAGTACCAGCATTTTTTGCACATAGAAAGTTGTTGCCTGATAAAATTTTTAAGTTTTAATGTACAGTGAAACCTCGGGATACGAACATCCCTCTTTACGAATTTTTCGGGTTGCGAATGCAGTTTTGTCAGAAAATTTGAATTGGGTTACAACATTTGCCTCGCCTTGCAACTTTGTTGATATACGTAGGGGTCGACCGAGCACGTGGTTCCCAGTGGCACAAGCGACCTCACTTTAGTTTAACAGAGCCGCCCGTCTAGTGATGATCATGCTTGAATTCTTTGTAAAGAATTTAATTATTTTTCTGCTTTTTGGGTTTTTGAACATAAAAGTAATTATTATATATCACGCCAGGGGTCCCAATAAAGTTGATGATAAGGTTCAACCTAAGAAATTAGTTGAGTAGAGGCAATAGAGGATGTCCCTTCCTCATTAAGAAAATGTGTGAAGTATGGGAAGAACTGCAAAGTTTTGCTGAAAAGACTTGCCCAGATAAGTCTGTAGCAGGCTGTTGCATTGACCTTATTAATGACAATGTGATGTCTCACTACAGAAAAGTGTTAAAATGTAGGGAAAAACAAGTCTCTAAAGGTTCTTAATGAGACAAACAAGCAGTGAGCCACAACCATGTCCTAGTGGTATGCCTGCAAAACGTAGGAGAGAGTACCCCAGAGAAATCTTCGCTGCCTGATGTTATAATAGAAGGGGACTCCTCTTCCTAACACAAACACCTTCCCCCCCCCCCCCTCCTCTTATTATCCTTCTTCCGTCCGTCTTCCATACACCAACAATATTCATCAATAAAGGCAAGCCATAACTTGTACATGCTATAGTACAAAATATTTGTGTGTTATGTATTAAATGTATTTTGAAGTTAATATTTTTTGGGAGTGTGGAACGGATAAATTAAATTTACATTATTTCTTGTGGGAAAATTCATTTCAGGTTGTGAATTTTGGCTTACAACCTGTCTCTAGAAACGGATTAAATTTGTAAACGAAGGTACCACTGTACAATGGAACCTTTGTATTTGTCATTTATCCATTCTTGTTGAATATGGAAACACTTTCCACTTTCAACTTGGCAATAAGTTCTTTTTTTAACTCAATTGTGGTTCTCACAGCATTTTGGTAGTTTTTCTTCACTATGCTTTGTTGGGGTCATGGTCAATTCTTTTTACAAAAGATAACTACCAAATTACAAAAAGAACAAAAATTTCCAAGGAAAATTAGCAGGCGATGTGTGCTCAACGACTGCACAAGTCTGACTGGGTGGACGAGCTGACTGCACGATGATCCTGTACTGGGCAGTGTGTGACGAATATGGGAAATGCTGACAAATATGGAAGTATTGCTTTTGTCATGAGAACTTGACAAATGACGAATTTGGCAAATATAGGATCAATGAATATACAGGTTCCACTTTTTTTTTTTTTTTTGTAGAACCCATTATAGTCTCTACTGTTTATTGCTAGTCCATGGATTGAATGCTTCACTCTTGTTGAGTGCATTACTTAAGTGTATGTTGTGACACCTTTCATCTCCATTAATGAAATACTATTAGATGCTTTCTTTAACTATATTTTTTCCTTGCTAAGGTGTATACTAGTAAGAGATTTTGCTATTGTTCTGGCCTATTAAACAAATACTGTATTGGTAAAGTTTATTTGTAGATAATTGGAAGTATTTTTTATCTTTAATTTTATGATGTAGCTTTCCATTATTTTATGGATGTTTATGCATAACTATTGTTACTATATACCTAATATAGCTGGAAATTTAAATTTAATTGTAGTCTAAAGGCTTTTGGATTTGGGTAAAGTTTAGTGGATTTACAAGGTTACGGTAGATATTGTATAGACTGTTCTCTTATTGCAGGTCTACTCTACAACGTTCCATCACTGAACCAATGACCTTACAAGGTCATACTGGCCCAACTAAGTTGTCGGAGTCCTTTGTAAAGGAGGCCATCATTATATCTGACATGTTCAACATGAGTGAGATGTCTGCAATGTCATTATTGCGATCAGCTGAAGAGGAGTCTACACTATACCCTGGTGTTCCGAGGGGATTGATTGCAATATTATTTTATTATGATAGTAGAGTTAATCTTGCTCATGCCCTCAAAACGTTGGTTCAGGCTCGGCAAGGAATTTCATGGGTACTTCTTCCTGATAATGAAGAATTGTCTCAGAGTATTACTAGATATCTGCAACCAATTCTTAACATTAGTTTAGTGGATAGGATTTTGGAACTTGTCACATCAATGGACATCACAAAGGAAATAGAGCTGTTGCAGCAGAACCGTGCTTTGGGAGATGCAAAGCACAGAAAAATGGTATTAGACAAGTTTCTGGCAGTGCGCAGTTTACTGGCCGAGACACTTTTTTGTTGGGCTGCACAAACACCTTTCAAGAAAGACGAATGTCGCCGTCTTCTAGCATATATGTCTAAAGTAAAGTTGACAGAAACTAGTGATGGTTCTCTGGATCCTATTAATTTAAGTCTATTGATGGCTCTTCTTTATAGTTTAGAAGCGGGACATTTGCTTAACCAAGAAGACATGACAGAAGCTCTTACTCAGTTTCCTATATCAAGTGACCGAACATTTGTACAAGAAATTCATCATGAGGTAAGGTCAGATCAAGCTTGGGAAACCCCGGGACTGAAAGCCATAGTGCAGCTAGCTTGGGCTGTCAGCCTTGCTAACTTAAGGCAGGTTGCTGTTGCCACTCAGTTAGCAGACATTGATAATATTCTAGAGGACGATGATGCTGTTCTTGATGATTCACTAAAGGGAAAAGTTTTTTCATTTATTCAGAATTCTATACTCTCCAAGAAGAACACTCCTCTCGACACCTTTTACTGCCAGCGTCTTCATTCAATCCTCTCTGATTTTATAATTCACGTTCCTGAAAGAGTTAAAGCTATGAAAAACAGAGCTGATGAAAATTCCAGACTTATTACTGCAAACTTAAGAGAGTCTCTTCAACCTCCGACAAACTTGGATCAACCTTTCGAGGAACTTTTAATTTGTTTGGCTGCTTTATACCAAGATGGACAATGTGGTGAGCTGGTTGAAGATTATTGGTGTCCTAGCGAGATTCTTCCCACAGCATCTCTGCAGTATCGTGGCCAAGGAACTCGACAGATGGCTCTCTTCAAGTTTGTCAGACTTCCTGGAGATTATCTGCCTCCTTCTCTGTTTGTACCATATGTTAACCTTCTAACCAGTTTAGCCACAACTCCACGGTCTGCACAGTATGTTTACAACTTTTTGCGAATGAACAGTCAACCACTCTCACATGGTAGTAACTTGGCTTGGGAACATTTTATGACTGCTCTAACTCAATACTATAACAACTTGAGAATTGAAGAACCTGGTGCAATGGATACCATGTACCGTGCACGTGGTACCCCACGAGGCATAACTCCCCAAGAGGTACAGGGGATCCAAGCAGTGCTGCAGTTAGTTACAATGGTAGCTGAAAAGGATGAGCTGTCACGTGTGGCACTGTGTGATAATGCTGCATGGGCTCCACTATATGTGTGCACAGGCTTGCTAACATGTGCTGTACCTCTTGCACTCAAAGTAGAACTTGTAAATACTCTTGCTGCATTTAGTGGTACCCCAGCATTGGCTCAGAGAGTTTGGGAATTGATAGAAGGAGGGGGGCTGATTCCTGTTCAGGAGGGTGTTGCAGGATATCAGCCACGTGGCCTACTTGTTGACATTGAAGAAGTAGAGAGTAGCAGGGAGGAATTTACCTTGACTCGGGCAATTCTCAAATTGTTGGGGACTTTAGTTCGTGCAGGCATACCTCCAATGCTTGGTGCTGCCACTCGACAGCCAGGATTTCGCCCATATCTTGACTTGATAAGAGACAGAATATTTTTACGGCATGATTCGCGTGCCTATAGAGATTCCGGTGAACGTTGGGCTGTAGCTTGTGGCTGCTTGGAACTTCTATACCAGTTGCTTACTGAACAACTTCACACAGTAACATCAACTATGGAGCAGAGATCTGGGCAAGCACCAGGTTGTTCAGTTCTCTTAGATTTAGTTCAAGAGTCTCAACTTGTGAAGCAAGTGCTTTCAGTACTGCATGATGGAGTTCAAATTTTAGAACAGTACAAGGAAGTACCTGGTCAAAAAGATCTTAATGCAAGTCTGCTATTGGTATTGCAGCTCTTGCTTGAAGCACAAGAACAGCAACACTTGGTACTAGGCACATCAAATAACCCAGATATTGTGCTAGGTGTGGAGCGCTTACTCATGGGAGTTAATGTTCATACAGGGGTCAGTGACCATTTTTTGAATGTAGTAAGGTTGGTTGGCCATCACCAAGATCTGCCCAGTCATGCTGCTTTAGCATGCCGTCTTCTGACAACCTCGGCTGCAAGACCCAGTTCTCAGACCCATCTGTTTTCTTTAATCACATCATCTGCAACTACTGCCACTTCAGTCAGACACAGTTTTGTTGAAGTAATAGATCATGCTGCATTGGATATCCCAGAACACTTAGATGCTGCAGATGCTGCTTTAAATTTGCTTCTAAAATATCTGCCACTTCCAACTCCAAATGTGGCTCACTTCTTGCTTGGCTATACAGCAGATGGTATGACCACCTTACGTTCTGATTTATTAGGTGCTGGAGCCCGTGGGTATCCCCGAACAGCAATACATGCTGTACTTGCTTCTCTACCCTCGTGCCCACCAAGCCTGTCTGAAGTGGCTTACAGACTTGTTTACGAACTCTGCAGTGATATCAACACTTCGGCACCCACCTTACGTTTTCTTCGATCCTCTGAGGATCTTTTGTACCGCACAGTTGCTACTATGGGATTACCGCACACCGATTCTAGGCTTCGTCTCTTGTCTCAAGGATGGCTATTACGATGTGTAGCCTTGGAACTACGTTATCATGCAACACATCAACAACGATCACAATTAGCCCGACTGATTCATTTACTCGTAGCAGGAGCAGAATTACCTCAGCAAGAACCCTTGGATGCTTCTCAGGGTTGGACTGGTGGATCCAGTGGTGGACGTGGGCCACTTCTCACTTTATTAGATGCTATTGATCTCAGTATAGATTTTCCAGCACCACTGCAATGCGAGTACTTCACTAGGGCATCAGAGCTCATTGGTAACTGCGAGAGCCCCTCACCCGAGGGTCCTGTAGTTAATTTAAAAATGTTGCATCAGCAGCTGACAGCTTTGCTACAAGAAGGAGGCTCTGGAACCTCTTTAACTCAACGTGATCCATTGCAAGAGGAGTTGGAATTGGTAATGGGGCATGCTCTAATGCTGAACCAAACAAGAGCACTGTTATTTGCACACAGGCACTTCTTGGAAGGTTGGAGGCAAGTTGTGGAAGTTGTTGTAGCTGTGACTCCTCCAGACTTGATAGAAACTGCAACCCACCACACTTTTCTCCATACACTTACTCATGATTTAACTCGTCGACTTTTGGATGACACTGCCCTTCAATCACTAACCACACAGTTGGTATCAACATTACTGATGTTAGTAACCACTTTGCGAACTCTCCATGCCAGGCCAGCACACCATCATCCACAGTATGTGTCCATGCTGGACAGTGGGAATTGTGCAGTTCAGGCTGAATTTCCTTCATCGCTACAACTTGTTTTGCGTGGACTGGTTGAATGTGTGGCACGATTCAAACAATGTAGCCAAGGAGTTCGTGCTTCCATATACGCTGCTCTTCTCAACTACTTGCAGATATGTGCTGATCCTGTTGACAAGACTGGGGAGGATGCAGATAGTCTCCAGTCCCTTCTCTTGGCTCCACGTGAAACTCAAGAGGAGCAATTTCACCGTGAGAATTACGATGTTGTACGTGACGAATTACCCCAGTTGGTAGATGTTTTGGCAGTGGAAGCAGGCGGTGGCCATCACGTTTGTCAGGTGCTAGCTTTGACATGCCTTAGTGCTCTTGCTGCACTGGAACAGCGTGCTGCCCCACTTACCAATGAGTCACTGCTGCTGTCACATCTTGCTGACCATGGACACCTACGTCGTCTTTTGGATGCATTGAGAACTGATGATCGGCAGCTTCTCTCACTGTTAACAGCTGATGATGATGATTTGCGACCTTTATATGTGTATGAAGCCCGTATGTCTCTGTTGGCTCGTTTAGCACTGTCCCCAACTGGAGCACAGCAATTATTACAATCTGGTCTTACCACACGTCTATCAGAGTTGACTGCCTTAGACTATCGTCCTGCTCAACCTATTCAGTCTGCAAGTAGTGAAGAATTTCTTCCAAGTGTTGTGCAGCGGTATCGCTCTGTTTTAATGGCAGCAATAAGAGTTTATTTGGCCATTTTGACATCTTTGGGAAGTGACAATTATTCTGCAACTGCCCATTTATTAAGATTTTTGGCTGCTCATGGCGAGGCTTTTGCTTCTGGTCTGTGTGTTCCAAGTTTACCATCTTTACAAGCTCTTGAGGAAGTAGCCCTTTTGTCAGCAGCAGTTGCAGGTGCTGCTCCTCCTGGTCCCATAACTGCCATAGATCCATCAGATTTAGAGTCTGGAGCACAAGCAACTAGGCTCCAGCAACTGCTTATAGCCTTGCTACCACACGTACTACCTCAGAGTCGTTTGTCTGCTGCCCTGGACATGTTGCCAGAGAATGAGGAAGGTGTAAATGTAAAGGAAATGGCTCGTACAGCTACTCTAACTACTCTAGCTGCAGTGCTAAATTATGCCACAGCTCGTCTTATTCATGGTGGAACTGATACTCGTGATATCACTCTTGTTTTCCGAGCATCCATGGATAATGGAATACCCACAGGAGCTGTCGGACGGCCTCTGTCCCTAGCAACTTTGGTAGAATGTGCAAGTCAGGTCAGTCACCACTTTACTGTTGCCAGAAGTGCTTGTGAAACTGCAACTGCTTGTCTTCAAGCCTTGGAAAGTAATCAGCCAGTTGAACACTTACGTCAGTATGTGAGTAGTGCTTTGGCTGATGCCGCCTCACCTGCTGCTGTGCGTAGACTAGCCGAGGAGCACTTGAGTCAAGTTGTGGCTTTGCACCGGCGTCAAGAGCAACTTGCTGTTCATGCTGCTGAATCTGCAGCATTTCTTCTTTGGAGGCATCTTGAGTACTTCATTTGCCATGCACCATCAGCCCCTGGCCCTGCACAAGATGATTTCACGAGACGGGAAGTTGGGGTTCCTCGTACTCTAACTCCCACAGAGATTGACAGTCTGCGTAAACAGGCATCGACAGCATTGCAGGAAGTGCTACCACGTCTGCAAAAAGTTCATGAAGAGTATTCTGCTGCCACTGGGCATGTTGCTTTTTTGGCAGCTGCCATAACCAGAATTAGAAGGCTTTTGGTACCTTAAAACTTATGATCATGTGTGTCTGTGTCCAGTAGTAACATGCTGTAATTTCACTTAAATCTCGATTTGACTCCTGTTGTATCTTTTTAAGTAATTTGTTTAGTTATGTGGATGGAAATGGTATAATGGGCTGTCAGCTTTAGTATGTTTACTTTTCTGTTACTGTCCTGTGCTTGTTTTTTGACCATGGATTTACTTCACTATTACTGTAATTTACAATTTTTTTTTTTTAATAAATTTAGCTCTTAAGTAAGAATTTAAAGTAGAAAATATAACAATTCATAAATGGCTAGGTTTATATAAGATTTGGGGAATACACTGAAATGTTGAAGCTCTTGTCACTGCCGTATATATATGTAAATCAACATTGTTGTTTTTTAATAGTGGTATATTTTTATTAGCAAATTTATTTTAAAACAAATTTCATTCGTATGAATGGAATTTGTTTAACTGCATTTGAATTTTTAAATCATTGTTGCAGTTATGATTAAAGTGTATGGAATACACCACTTTTTTCATCTAATTAAACTGAGAGGAAGGAAACGTGTTCTAGCATATAATTTTTTTTAACTACTCAGAGATTGTATTCCAGCAAGATAATGTTTTCACTTGTAACTGCAGAGTGTATCTTCATTTAAAATTGCTACTGTATATATATATATATATATTGTCATTATCATTTTTTGGTGACTTTCTAGGGGTAATGATGTTTTCATGTTAATACAAGTTTTATATTGATATTAGTTTTCTTAATCACGTCCTTTGTACAGGTTATGAAATTATTTTCAGCTGTTTCTAAATAATTACTGAACAAATACACTTACTCAAGATCATTGCTCACTTTCGGCAATCTCTTGTGAAGTACATAGGGTAGTTAAGGTTTAGGAAGCAATCAGTACTGGTACAATACTTATCTTTGTAGAATGGCTTGTTTCAAGTCCTAAAAGTTCAGAGAAAAATAAATTTGCTATTCTTCAAGGGGGTAAAGTCCTATCATTATCTTAGTGCTTCTTGGGTAATGTTTACATTGGAGGGGAGACATGCAACACGCACACATGGTGCTCTATAACCTAACTAGTTTTAGTACCTGGTTCTAAACCTAAATGCCAACAACATAACTATACCTTCATTTGTTGCATTATCATCGAGAGAATAAAGGTGAAAATTAAATTTTTTTGTTGAGGCAGGTATTATATAGCTTTCCATGCTTTGCACTTAATTTTGATAATCACTTGTAGGTAATGTGCCCAACAACTTGGAATAGACAGTAGAGTAACCTTTTCACTTGTGGGGCAGCATTCAATCCCGGCCGTCCAAGAGGTTGTGTACTATTTCTTTCCTCCATCTTGTACTAAATCCTTATCCTCATTCCTTCCAAATGCAATATAGTCATAATGGCTTGGTGCACTCTTCTGATAATTACCCTACCTTGTATGGAATATAATGTCAACTGTAGAAATAGTTACATTTAATTTGCACATGCAACAGAAACTTCAAGTGCAGTATTACAATATTAAAAGACAAGAATATGATAGTTTGTTCTAAGAGCTGTTCACAAAAGGCTGAGGGATGATTGAAGACAACCCACCTGTTTTGGGAATATAGTTTGACTTCATTGACAGTTGTCATTACAAGAAGCTGTTATAACGGTCTTGTTTGGAGGCTACAAAAAATCTGCTAACTCTGTTTCGAGTGTAGTCGTCAAGTGCTGAGAGTGGATATTGATGCTTAATGATGTACCAGGAGCTGCATTTTGACTGAGCCAGCCAGTTTTCAATATTATGCAGGACAGGCTATTATTTTTTAAAAGGTATACAGCATTGTGCTGCTACTCTTCTCTATATGAGGGGAGTTAAATATGTTGATGAGCCTGCTAAATTTCCCTAATGTCCCTATCTCACAATGGTTGACTCATACATGAATGTGAGTCTACCTACTAGCCTGCATTTACGAGCGTATTTTCTAATAACCGAGATGAAACAAAATGGTTACGAAGCTCCAGGTATCTTGTATAATTGGGAATACAAATCATTAATAATTGGGTATTCACTAATATTAGTGTGTCCTAGTTTAAATAAATAGATTTTACATATGGAGCACTCAATGTTGTGAGATTGCCCAGTCTGATTCTACCAATTGTATTGTCACACTTGAGGATGTTTTGTGGTGTCCTAGCATACATTTCTCGGTTATAAACAGTTTTATACAGTACTAATGTTTTATGCCCTTATGACTCATTAATTGCACTTACATGAGCCTTAGTTTCTTGAAGTGTGGTTTTGACAAGAGATTCTGATACCTAGGTCTAGTTCAATTTCGAGTTTGTTACATGTTGCTTTATCTGTCTTTGACTATCGTGGTGGATATTATTTGTGCGAGACTGAATTCATGCAAGTAGGAAATTTTGAAATTATTTACTGTATCTGCATTAATATATATATTACAGTACTGTAAATGATGATATAACATTCTAAGTACTTTACCCGTTTTGCATACTGGGGTTTAAACTGTTGACTTTTAGTCAAATTTAAAATTACTCTCTGTATATTTCAGTGTATTATTGGCTAGTTGTAGTGGAGCTAACTGTGTGTGACGCTTAGGTAGTTGTTTAGCCTCATACTAGCAGTCTGTACACATGTTTTTGTAGAACATGACTTGCAATGCAAGCTGTTGACAGTTTAGAAAACCATCAGTGTAAGCACAGTGCTCATGTGGTTATAATTAGTTACAAAGGTATTATTAGTGTTGTGTTATTGCTTTGAGTAGTTACTCTTTTTGCTGATGAAGGGAAGGGGACTATCAGGGGAAAGCGCCTAGCCCTCACGACTATATAGCACTTTGTTGGGATAAGGATTTGAGATGGGACGGAGGGAAGGAATGGTGCCCAACCACTTGGACGGTCGGGGATTGAACGCCGACCTGCATGAAGCGAGACCGTCGCTCCACCGTCCAGCCTAAGTGGTTGGATTTTTTGGTGATGAATGTGATGACTTGTATAGCAGAGTGCAGACTGTACATTAGCTGGTACATTACACACAATAGGAATATTTAATTTGATAAGGTTGGTTGCACTTGTACTCAGTTGACTTGCAGGTTGCCTGGTGGTGCATTAGCTGCACTTGCTTGCTTGCCAAGATCACTGGTCAGTTTGTCTCATAAGTAGTGCTGGTGATTTTGAATCTCAGAAGGTTGATATAGAACGTCTTGTTTAGCTGCACCATTGTTTCGTATATGGTAATGGCTTTACAAAATATACAAATACTGGTAGCACAATGGTTTAGGTTTTTGGCTCACAATCAAAGGAACTAGATTCAATCCCTGATGCCTCTGTTCATCTAGCAGTAAAATAGGCACCCAGGAGTTAGACAATTGCTGTGGGTTGCATTCTGGGAAAGGTTATAATTGACCTAGGGGGACCTTGACGAGCCTTAGTATGGGCTTTTCTAATGCTCAGTGGGAATCATTAAGTAACCACTTTGTACATGTTATAAATAAAATATGATGACTGTGATAAATGTGCATCTAAGTTGCACTGAAAACTATTCGTATGGCTTCATTTTGTATAGTTTCTAATGATTTCGGGTGATTTCAGCAAAATGCTGGGAAGAAATATAAGGTGTAGGGCATTGGATATAATAAACATCTTATGTCAAACATTCTGCCATATTTAATTGACATTTATAATAATGTACATGTATACCAGCAAATGTTTAGAGAGTTTAGTCTTTCTTGAAGCCTATATGTATATAAGATGTAATTCACTCGCAATATTCACTGTTAATGAATATTAATATTAATGAAATGTTAGCTGATACATTTGTATTGCCTTCAGTTTTTGATTTGCTGGATATTAACCATATCCGAAGGCTGATAGTTTGTTTTGGGTATAGGGTCCTAGTTTTACTTGTGGAACCACTTTGCATAAAGATCACATGCAATGCCTTGAGTTGCAAATGCAATTTTTTTATCATTAACAAGCTTGGGTTCACACAGTAATGTGCTGCTAATCTATTCTGTATGAAAGATTACAATATATTGATCAAAATCTAGCTATGAGTTCATCTAATATCCCCATCCTGCAGGATGGCTAATCATAAATTCAATCAGAAAAAACGTGATGGGTGTCTAGTCTGATATTGTGGACTAGCAAACTCTGGGTAGAGCAGAATAATATCTCACAATATTCGTGCTTGTACGAAGTAGTTATAGAGCTCCAAGTATCTCATACTATTTGTTCTGAAGTCATTGATAATGGCACTCACAGATAATGTTACAGTGTGTGTCCTGTTCACATAGTTTAAAATTGGAGTGTTCACCATTGGAAGGATTCATACCTCCAGCCACCTGCCTATCGATATCTGTGTAATTCTGGCAATTGCAATGTCTAGTGGCTCTTTTTGTGCTGCTCGTACATGTACTTCTCGGTTCTAAACATTACAGATCTCATTAAAATTTTTATAATACTGAACAATTTTGAGGGTATTGATCCAGACCACTTCTTCAAAAGGTCAGATGTAACACAAACAAGAAACAACGGGTTTAGACTCAACAAGCCACAATGTAGGGTGGAAAACAGAAAATGCTTTTTAGATTTAGATTAGATTAGATTTTTTTTATTCAGGTAAAGTTACATACATTGAAGATGAGTTACAAACATAATGTTGGATTTAAAGATAGAGCTAGTACATACAATACCTAAAGCCACTAGTACGCACAACGTTTCGAGCAGCGTTTTCGTTATAAACCCATGGAACCGCCTACCCGCCGAAGCCGAAAATACCAAAACGCTGCTGAAAATCAAAATCCAGCTCATTCCAATTGTAAACTATATGAACAAGAGCTGGGACATACTCTCCAACACTATATCTGTGATTGCCCTGTTATAAATGACTTCGGACCAAATGGTATGAGGTACTTTGAGCTCTGTAATTACTTAATACACTCAGGAATATTGGAAGATATACTTATGTTGTTCTCAGATTTTGCTAATGGGGGCTAATAGATCAACCTTACATCTCATGTTCTCTCCTGACTTTGTCAGAGTTGGTTATTTTTGTATTTTCTCCCCTGATTCCATGTATGACTTAACTATCCTGTGAAATGGGAATATTAGATGAACTTATAGCTCGTTTTTTATATAAATCCTGTGTAATCTTCCATATAGAATAGGGCAGCAGCACATTACTGTGTATACCTAAGCCTGTTAATAAAAAAAAATTGACAAAATCATCAGGACAAATGGGGGGAGACCTTCGACAAGGCGTCGACTTCCTGTCCTCGTCACAAGATAGTGGCCTTTAGTTAAATTTTGGTATTTTTTTTTTACATTTGTACTTTCTGCCCATTGAGTGTCAAAGACTGCGCACCCGCCATCTGTAATTTCCCGGAACATTGCTCCTTTTACAACAGACTGAAATGCCTAGATCTATCTCAATTTCAGGTTTATCACATGTAAGGTCAGCTGCCCTGTCCGCAACCTATTGTTTTACGCCCCAACGCTTTGCGTATTACTGGCCTTTTTAAATGTACAACTTCTGTTACAATTATTAAATCCCTGCATATATTCTTTAGTATTTTAAATAATTAATTTATTTTTATTGTTAATATTAGTATTATTATTTTTATTATGATACAAATATTACAATACGTAACCCCTGCAGTCGCAGACGACGCTTCAACATGGCAGCATGTCGGGTTCTCCTCGCGCTCTCTCCTGCTAGTAAGTCTCGCCTCTCCTCACCAACACCACAATTACACCCCTTAGGATACACAACACCCACAGAAGCAGGTGTAGATGCTGCAGGTATCGTAGATAATGACTTGCAGCTGTCCATTGCTGGCGTTAACTCTTAGGGGGGTAATGGTAGAGGTAGCCGGCGCTGGAGGTAAACACGGCCTCTTGAGGCATAAAACCTGGCTCTAGATGCTCTATCTTGGCGTCATAACCACCAGCAGAGGTAAGCCGACCTCTGTAACATAAAACCTGGCTCTAGACGCTCTATCTTGGCGTCATAACCACCAGCAGAGGTAAGCCGACCTCTGTAGCATAAAACCTGGCTCTAGACGCTCTATCTTGGCGTCATAACCACCAGCAGAGGTAAGACGACTTCTGTAGCATAAAACCTGGCTCTAGACGCTCTATCTTGGCGTCATAACCACCAGCAGAGGTAAGACGACTTCTGTAGCATAAAACCTGGCTCTAGACGCTCTATCTTGGCGTCATAACCACCAGCAGAGGTAAGACGACCTCTGTAGCATAAAACCTGGCTCTAGACGCTCTATCTTGGCGTCATAACCACCAGCAGAGGTAAGACGACCTCTGTAGCATAAAACCTGGCTCTAGACGCTCTATCTTGGCGTCATAACCACCAGCAGAGGTAAGACGACCTCTGTAGCATAAAACCTGGCTCTAGACGCTCTATCTTGGCGCCATAACCACCAGCAGAGGTAAGACGACCTCTGTAGCATAAAACCTGGCTCTAGACGCTCTATCTTGGCGTCATAACCACCAGCAGAGGTAAGACGACCTCTGTAGCATAAAACCTGGCTCTAGACGCTCTATCTTGGCGCCATAACCACCAGCAGAGGTAAGACGACCTCTGTAGCATAAAACCTGGCTCTAGACGCTCTATCTTGGCGCCATAACCACCAGCAGAGGTAAGACGACCTCTGTAGCATAAAACCTGGCTCTAGACGCTCTATCTTGGCGCCATAACCACCAGCAGAGGTAAGACGACCTCTGTAGCATAAAACCTGGACCTAGACGCTCTATCTTGGCGTCACAAGTAGCAGACTTGGAAGTAAACATGATCTCTTCATGGTAGGTGAAAATTTCGTGAAGGTTTTATTTATTTTTTCATTCATATAATTTTTTATTTTTATTTTATTTATATCTACAAGAGTTCTTACATTCTTGTGCAGCCACTGGCATGCATAATGTTTCGGGCAAGTCCATAAGCCTTTGTTCCCCGGAATACGACCCACCAAATCGTTTAACAACCAGGTACCCATTTTACTGTTGGGTTAAACAGAGGCTACAGTTAACGATTGACACCCAGTAAATCTTCCCCGGCCAGGATGGGAACCCAGGCCAACGTGCTTGCAAAACGCTAGGAGTGTGTCTTACCACTACGCCATGGAGACTGCATACAAGAAGATACAATGGGTTGTTAAGGGGTACATAGGCTTGAAGATGAGTAGTACATTTTTGTAGAGCCACTAGCATGCATAGGGTTTCAGGCAAGTCCTTAATCTAACAAATAAGCATAATGATAGGTACACTGTAACAAAATATGAATACAAATGATAACGAGCATATAAGCCATAAACAGTATGCCTATGCACTCTGCACCAGGCCCGGATTCTTGGAACTCCATATTCATCAAGAACTGTAAAAAACCACTATCGCAGGCCCTCCACATTCTGTGGAGACAAAGCCTAGATAATGGCGTTATTCCTGATATACTAAAAACAGCAGAGATAGCACCACTTCATTATGGAGGAAATAAGGCAGAGGCAAAAAATTACAGACCGATAGCACTAACATCGCACATCATAAAAATTTTTGAGAGTGCTAAGACGTAAAATCACAAAATACATGGAATTACAGCATCTCCATAACCCCGGACAACATGGTTTCAGAACAGGGCGCTCTTGCCTGTCGCAGTTGCTGGACCACTATGATATGGCATTAGATGCTATGGAAGACAAACAAAACGCTGATGTAATTTACACAGATTTCGCAAAAGCTTTTGATAAATGTGACCATGGTGTTATTGAACATAAAATGCGTTCAAAAGGAATTACTAGAAAAATAGGCAGATGGATCTACAATTTCCTAACCAACAGAACCCAATGTGTAATAGTCAACAAAATAAAATCCAGCCCATCAACTGTGAAGAGCTCAGTCCCCCAGGGACTGAGCTCAGTACTGTGCTTGCTCCAGTACTTTTTCTCATCCTCATATTGGACATAGACAAGAACACAACCTATAGAACTGTATCATCCTTGGCAGATGACACTAGGATCTTCATGAGAGTAGGCAACATAGAGGACACGGCAAACCTCCAGTCCGATGTAGATTAGGTCTTTCTATGGGCTACAGAAAATAATATGGTGTTTAACGAAGAAAAGTTCCAGCTTATGCGCTATGGAAAAAATGAAAATATAAAAACGGAAACCACGTACAAAACTCAGGCAAATCATAACATAGAACGAAAAGGCAATGTAAAGGATCTGGGTGTACTCATGTCGGAAGACCTTACCTTTAAAGAACACAATAAAGTAGCCGTCACAACTGCAAGAAAAATGACAGGTTGGATAACAAGAACTTTTCACACTAGAGATGCTATACCGATGATGATACTTTTCAAAACGCTTGTGCTCTCTAGAGTGGAGTACTGCTGCACAATGACAGCCACTTTCAAAGCTGGAGAAATTGCTGACCTGGAGACCGTGCAGAGATCCTTTACTGCTAGAATCCACTCAGTAAAACATCTAAACTATTGGGACCGACTAAAGAGCCTAAATCTGTACTCCCTTGAGCGCAGGCGGGAGAGATACATAATAATTTACATGTGGAAAATATTAGAGGGGCTGGTCCCAAACCTGCACACAGAAATAACATCACATGAGACCAGAAGACATGGCAGGATGTGCAGAATACCCCCGTTGAAAAGCAGAGGTGCAACAGGTACTCTTGAGAGAGAACTCTATCAACATCAGAGGTCCGAGACTGTTCAACACGCTTACGCTACACATAAGGGGCATAACTGGCAATCCCCTCACAGTGTTCAAGATAGAACTGGATAAGCACCTCCAAAGGATACCTGATCAACCAGGCTGTGACTCATATGTCAGGCTGCGAGCAGCCGCGGGGACGCTAAGCCCCGGAAGCACCTCAAGGTAAACAAGGTAGCATCAGTATAGAGAGAGAAAATTAAATTATAGGAATGAAGTTGCTTTTCTATATATATACAGTACTGGGTAAATGGGAAGCACAAAATACTGTTTCAAGAAGAAATTAGGCACTTAATTTTTTTTTTTTTATATATATATATACAAGAGTTCTTGCATTCTTGTAAAGGCACTAGCATGCATAGCATTTTGTGCAGGTCCTTAATCCTAATTTTCCCTGGAATACGACCAATTCAAGAGAATGGCCCAGGATGGACCGAAATGTCGTCGTCCCTTCACTTTCTAGTGTATGACTTGGTCAACATATTTCAGCCACATTATTGTGATTCCTCGTCTTCATCTGATATGTGTGGTTCACTTTGCTGGTTCCAGTACCATGCATTCCCTCTGTTCCACCTTTTGAAATTGCTTTCTTCCAGCTCTAAAAAAATTATTTTCCTCTGAGCCCGAGCTATTTTCCTGTTTGTCACTCTGTAGTGTTCTGTGCCTTTCACATGAAATTCTGGGCAGTAAAGGTCTTAGCAGTTTTCTTTAAGTGAGGCTTTGCACGTGGCTGGATGGAAATATCTGCATGTTGATCCGAAGGGATATTTTCCCTTCTTTATTTTAACTATTATTTTATACACTCTAGTACTTTACCATTTATTTTGTATGCTTGTAATTTCCTTGTAATATGCTTGTCATATACCTTGTCAGGTATATGTGATACCTTATCAAAAGCTTAATGGGTGTACACTATTTCTAATTATATTATGTCTTGAACAATTATGGCCTGGATATTGAATTACTGGGATTATATTTTTCTATTTATAAATGGAACATTTGGAAAGAAGTTTCTTTTCTTACTGTAAATGTCAGAAAAAAAAGATCATAAAATATCAAATATGTATTTTTAGCTTTATTTTGACAGAAAATGGAGACATGAGACCTGAACCATAGCAAAAGGGCTAAATTAGATACAATATTAGTCTATCTAAAACATACTGTAATATCATATCTAGAATAATGTGGCTAATGAAAAGATAACTTTCTTCCCAGGGTTTTCTACAAATCTACAGGCTTCTTACGTACGGAGTGGAAGCCTCGCTAGCCTTAGCAGAGGCAGGATTATTCCTGCCTTTGTCCAGACTCGTAACTATGCTGAAAAGGTGGTTTTCCAGCGAGACAAACCTCACTGCAACATTGGCACTATTGGTCATGTTGACCATGGAAAGACAACCCTGTCAGCTGCTATCACTAAAGGTACATGATTTATTTTTCTTACTATTCATTAGTTAACTTACTAGGGAATAGTGGAATCCTGGTCAGAATAGTGGAACCTTGGTATAATAGAATTCTGTGTGCATTACAGTACAGTACAGTACTGTAGAAAGATTCTGGGTAAAATGTCTGAAGGAAAACCAGTGACAGGCTAATTATCTCTGTATACAGTGCAGTACTTGATATTACTCAGGAATTAGTCAAACAGACTTGCAAATGTCTGTTCAAAGTATGTTTGATCTAGAATAGCCCCTGAACATGAATAGAACTCTACTTTTTGTATTTTTTTTTAAAGATTTTGTTAGACTCCAGTAGTTTTAGCACTCAACCAAGATTCTTGATATGTAATTCCATGTTTACAGTGTGGATATTCTGTCCTTTTGCAAATTTTCTTACATAGTCACACACCACACCTGTTAGAATGAGGAGTATGTGAGAACAAATAACTCGGGCATGCAAACAAAATATGCATAAGTTTTTGCTGAAAGAGTGTGAATGAGAAATTAATATATGAATGAGTTCATAAGAATTAATGTACAGTACTGCATACATACTCTTCCTCCTCCTCTTCTCCTCCCAATTTGCCCTTCCCCTCCCCCACTTTTCCCTCCTCTCCCCGCTCCCCATGACCTCTTCCCTCCCATCACTCCTCTCCCACCCATCTCCTCAGCCCCATTTCTCCTCCCTTGTACTACTCTACATCTCTCTCTCTCCCATTTCTCTCTTCCTTTCCAGGTGTGTTTACAAATTGTTATCTAGCAGAATGTGGGTAAGTTGTTAGGGAAAGTCATGACTAGAGAATAACTTAAAGGTTGTATGGAAGCACGTTCATTATTTGTAGATGATATTCAGTAAAAGTAGATTATATTCGGTAAAAGAAAGTGAGCATTGAGCATGTTTCTGCAGTGGTAGTCATCCAATATATTAATAATAATTTTATTTACAGTCCTTGCAGGGAAGGAGATGGCAAAATTGAAACGATATGATGAAATTGACAACGCTCCACAGGAAAAAGCACGTGGAATTACCATAAATATTGCTCATCTTGAATACAATACAGAAGAGAGACATTATAGTCACATAGATTGCCCAGGACATGCCGACTTCATCAAAGTAAGCCCTTAGGATTGAGCCTAATTTTTGTCTGCAGTGTCATGCACTAGAGCAAATTATGAGCTTTATGATCCCATGTGAAGTACAGTGATTCCTCTTTTTGTTTTTTGTTGTTGTTTTAAACCTTTAACCCTTAAATGGCGCATAGCTATATACCATTTGACACCCACAGGCGCATACCAAAAAAAAAAAAAAAAAAAAAAAAAAAAATATTTTTTCTTCCTAACCTGTTAATTTGTGTTCACTGATCACGGGAAAAATAATAAAAAAATCGTAAGTGGCATATATTGCCCACTATAGGGCGGGGAATTCTGGCAAAAATCAGGCGCTGACTGAGCGTGCGTCCCAGGCGGTCTGTTGATCGCCAGCTGTCAGGCCAGAGTTTCCACAAAGAGATAATTACCTAATTATTTCAATGCCTCTGATTGATTTTTCGTAGTTTTTTTGCTGTAATATTATTCAATAGTGTGTAGTGTGATATATTTATATAATAAAATGAGTGAATCATCGCTATATTGTACTCAAAAATATGGTGTGCATATTGTTGATTCAATTATGTTCATCAAACAGTGAACAAATACTTTGTCGGTTATTACACTATATACACAGGTTATATATAAGTATCTGCATGTTGTTGTTCACTATGACGAACCACTAAGTTGGTATGCTGAGTGGCAGTGGCAGTGGCAGGCAGTGACTGGCTGCCACTGGCTGCCACTCCCTCACCTCACCTCACCTGACTTGCCACCATTCTCCACCCACCATACTGTTTTTGCTTTTATATACAGACGTTATATATAAGTATTTACATGTTTTGTTCACCATAACTGTACATCTAAGCTTGTATGGTGAGTAAATGCACAAAGACGTAGCTACTCACACAGTCAGCTGGTGGCGGCCGCCCTCAAGGCCAGACGCACTAATATTTCTCCTACAACAATACTGTTTGTGGTGTTATTACGCTATATACACACATTATATATAAATATCTACCTGTTTTATTCACCATACTTGTACAAGTAAACTGGTATGGTGCCCAAAGACCATTGTGGTCATCAGTAAACAACATGATAAGTCCTGCAGACGACGCTCCTCCCTCACCAAAATGGCGGCTCCCAACCTCCTACTCTCGCTGTTATCTCGCACTATACACACGTTATATATAAGTATCTACATTTGTGTTCACCATAGCGAACCACTAAGCTGGTATGGTGAGTGCAGTCAATAAAAGGTGGCCACACACACTCAAAAAGACAACGCCACCATCCTCCCTCCGACAGCATTACTCCTCCCTCCATGGTGCACAGCGCCAAATATCACCACAATCCTGCTATTATCAGAACCCTGGTCAGTTTTATCACAGTCAGGGGTCTTCTGTAATAATATCATCGCTACATAATAGCATGAACAAGTATATTATGGCATTTTTAGGCGATGCTGTGGTCACAAGCTGAACAGCAGTGCTGCGAGTTCATGCTGCGTGCGTCAGGCTTGGTAGCTGACTCAGTACTAAGGCCCCTAACACCTGGGAGTTTGGCTCACGATTTTTTTTTAAAATGGCGTCTGTTTACAAGAGCCCTGATGAAGGTGTGGTGAACCCCGTGTATCCGCGGGCCATTTAAATCTTGCGTAGTACTCCAAAGCATCACATGATGCGATGCGCAATTTACTGCAAGTCGGTCAAAGCATCATATGATGCGATGCGCAATTGAAGGGTTAAATGGGTGTTGTAGGTAAATCATCTTTCTCCCATTTCAATTAAATTTGACTTCAACAGTGCACAAGCCCATGTACTAAGGCTAGCATCTATCTGATAAGCAGGCAGGTGGTGGTGAAGCTCCATCATCCCCACATCTTTCCTAGTGTTCTTGATCTAAGTAAATTAGCTATTCTCTCAGTCTTCTTGAGAATGTTCTGTTCAAAGTTTTGAGTCCTGGGTTTTGGGTAGTTGAATCGGACATATGCAAGCCGCTATCTTCATTTTCCTTAACCTCGGTGATGTTGTGTGGCTTTAGACAATCTCTCCCACCTGCTTCTTTGGCTCCAGTTTTTCTCATGTCTTAGGGCTAACTGCTTTGTGTAGCTGGCTGTGATAAGTTGCTCTTGTGTGCATGTGTGGAGGTGGCTTGAGGTGGAACTGAGGGGGCACAGCTCAGAAGTATGGAGTCAAGTGGTGTGAAACTTTCCTTTCAAAGCAGCCACTCAATTACTCCTGTTTCTTCCCCTGAAGTTCCTACTTCCTGAGCTTGCTAGGGTGGACTTAAGTGAGGGCAGTTGGTTCCTATTACGATTGTGTAGCTGGTGCTGGGAAACTCGGGAACTAGCAGTTAGCAGGAGGGCAATTGACTGTACTGGTAATCCCTGTTATTATTTGAAGGGGAAAGTTGAAAGGTTTGTTTCAATCTTTTGTATGATGGCAAGTAGTTTTTCTGGTGGCGAATTGAGCATACTTCTTTCTTCCCTTCCAAATTACAGTATAGTACTTTGTCAAATTATTTGAAAAGTGCCTTGTTGTAGCAACAGTTAATAATGGCGTGGCATCTCTGCTGTGTCCTGGTAGACCCTTGTTAAGGGCTTGTAGAACAACCAAGAGGGTGTTCAGAAAGCACTGTCTCGTACCAGTCAAAGCCCTATTTTTTGTTCTCCTGTATACGTGTGTATTAAAGCAGTTAAATTTTATCTTATTTTATTTTAATTGCCAAATTATATGGCAGATTTTTGTTTGTCAATATTTCAAGTGATTCTTAAAAATTCTAATACCGTACCTGAAAGTGCCTGAGACTTAGTGAATGCTCAGCAACATTGTCACTCCCTCATGAAAATAGTATCCTCAAAATAGAATTAAAAATTAATATTTGATAGGAAACTTTATTTTTAAATTTGTCTGAGATAGCATCATTAACATAATTTTCACCCTTGGCTGACAGAACATGATCGTCGGCAGTTCGCAGATGGATGGAGCAATATTAGTCGTTGCAGCCACAGATGGAGTGATGCCTCAGACTAAAGAACATCTCATTCTTGCCAAGCAAATTGGCATTGAACATATTGTTATTTTTATAAACAAGGTTAGCAGCATCAAGTAATTTGTGTATACAGTACTGTATTTGTTAAATTGCCTGTTATGAATGACACATTGGTTGAAATTAATAAATAGTGCCTATTTAAGGGAACTGGTTTTTAGTGTATTTAATAGGAAAATACTTTTGTTTTTTTCCTACAATATATTTAGTAGGTTCAGAATTTGCAATGAGCACTTGGGGAAATATGTTCAGAGTAGACGATGATACCTGTTTGCATGCCACTGCGTTTTATACACCATGTAAATAGAAAGCAAGATACCCGCCGTGCTTGGTTTGCTAGTCGTGTATTAATACAAAAAGTTAACAATCAATAATGACTTCATATTCACCTTACACCTGCCATCATCCCCAGCACCATACAACAGTTGGATTCATGTTAGCCTATTAACATAATTTCTTTTTAGCTTGATGCTGCTGATGAGGAGATGGTGGAGTTGGTGGAAATGGAAGTTCGTGAACTGCTGACAGAAATGGGGTATGATGGAGACAAAATTCCTATAGTGAAGGGATCTGCTCTTGCAGTCTTGGAAGAAAGGAATGAGGAAATTGGTAAGCCTATTTGTACATATCATTTTTTTATTTGATTCTTTTTAATAACTTTATTGTAAACTTATATTTTAAGCGATGGCTAAAGCAGCAAGAAAAGTTTTAAAGCAGATGTCGTTGGCTTGTTTGTTAAATGTGTAAAAAGGAGCAAAACAAACAAGCTATTCTGGAAATGAACAATGAGGTAAGCAAGGCAACGCTTGTTGAGGTGAGTAAAAAACCCAAATGCCCTTGGCTGCCACCAGGTGGTAGCCGTGGTTATCTTGAGGTTATCTTGAGATGATTTCGGGGCTCTTAGTGTCCCCGCGGCCCGGTCCTTGACCAGGCCTCCACCCCCAAGAAGCAGCTCGTGACAGCTGACTAACACCCAGGTACCTATTTTACTGCTAGGTAACAGGGGCATAGGGTGAAAGAAACTCTGCCCATTGTTTCTCGGCGGCGCCTGGGATCGAACCCAGGACCACAAGTCCCGCGTGCTGTCCGCTCGGCTGACCGGCTCCCCTATGTGGGAATCAATCACCTGGTGTCCTGGCCGCTCTCCACCTCACTTAAAAACCTCGAGTACTGAACCCCAAAATCAGTACAGGAAAGAAAGGGATTAGGGGTAGGAATGGGACAGGAGGGAGGGAGGCTACTGAGGGCTTACCAGAAGAGGATGTTTCATAACTTTCTAAGTAGGTTCCTGGTTTTACAGTACTCCCAATGGTGCCTTGGTAGAGGAGGATGTTCTTTGCTGAACAAAATGCAAGCCCAAAACCCAGAAAAGCCAAAAAAAGTCTCACCTGTCAGAGAAATCAATAGTGGAACAGGAATTTGTATATTGAAACTGGATCTTCAAAAAATAATTAAGTAAATTACGTAAATAAGAAACAAATATATAAAAACAAACCTCAAGCAATGTTGCTGCACCACAACATTGTGCTTTGTGAGGAAGTTCATCAAATTTGGATGAAAGCTGATGTCTCACAAAAGATTCAGGCAAATATAATATTGAGGTTTTAATTTTCCCACCAAAGATGAGGTGCAAAAATTAATCAACAATGTTATTTCTATTGATATGAATAACCTAATATATATTTGACAAAAAGGGGGGGGGGCTTTTGACAAGCCACCAGCTTTCTGTCCTCATTGACGCCAGTAGTGTTAATGGCCCTCAGGTAAATTCATGTGAAATAATTTCCAATTATGTACGGAAAACAAATTTGTCAGTTTAAAATGATGCCTAAATTGTTGCTAAAGATTAAGTCTGTTTACTAGTACGTATAACATAAAACATGGACAAGGAAAGATTCTCTTACACTTTTCATTGTGTGTTTACTTATGATTATTAGGTGTTGATTTGTACATTGAGATAATATTGACGTGTTTAATGCATGAGCCAGCAATGTGTGTTTGTATTTTGTCCTCTTTTTATTTTTCCTTCAATATTGTCATATGACCTGTAAGTCTGCATGTGTTAGGGATGTGTTCATGTGTTTTACAGTGCCACTGTTCCTGTCATACAATGCTAATGTATGTGTGTTTTGTAATGCAAGTGTACATATGTTTTGGAAATACAATTTTATTTCCTGAATTGATCAATAATAGGGGTAAACAGAAATTTATTTATAGGTGTATGTAATATTCAAAAAAAGATTTGGTTCATACTGAAGATTGAGACGTTTATTAAGTCTAATATTGCCAATATCTTTACAATTGTTGATGATGGATTTTCGGGAAATGAAACAAGAATGAAAATGTAATGTTATGTTATCTGATAGTTTGTGCTTTTCATTTATTATCATCACTTCTAACCTTTGTGGGGTGGGGAGGCAGAATAAAGTGGGGTACTCTCAAGTTATGAGACATTAATAAATAAATTTTACTTTTACTGTATTTGGAAGAAACTTTTTTGATAAAACTGAATGATGCATGGGAGGGCTGGACTGGGCTCTCCCATGCACCATTTAGGCAAGAGGGGGGGCCCAGCCCTCCCACCTGAATGATGCATGGGGCACAAGGGTGCTCTGCCTTGTGGTGGTGGGCTGTGGGGTTGCCATACTCCAGTTTTGACACTTTTATAAAATGGAATACATTTTTAGCAACAGTCAGGAAGTGTAAAGTACTTTACCCTTGTGTCGACTATAATTTGGGTAAAAAAATATCAGTGCTTGTTGCTAAAATGTTTATTTGTATTATTTTTTCAGGTGTTAAGGCTATTGAAGAGCTCATGAAAGCAGTTGATGAATATATCCCAACTCCTGTGCGAGATTTGGACAAGCCTTTCTTGCTACCTGTAGAGAGCGTCTACTCCATTTCAGGTTTGTTCATTATATTTAATAAATACAGTAGAATTATTGCATATTTTTGGATAAGGGCACTGTTACTCCCTCAGAACCGAATTCTGCTGGACGTGGTAGACTATATTTCAATACCGCAGTACATCTTCCTGTACCTACAAAATCTGCTGTATGCTTGAAATACAGCTATGAACCTTCCTTAACTATTTTGTGGGCTGTCAAAAATGCATTACAATACAGGCATACTGAATTAATCAAAGAAAATGTCACATTGCAGGTACACAGTACATATTCATAGTGTATAATAATACTCAAGTCAAGGTTTTGTTCCACATACGATTTTGCGATGATGTCCAGGCAAGTATGATGGTGATTGTGACAAAGTGGACTTTTGTTAAAGTTTTGGTGTCAAGCATGCTTGTGCTATCCAGAATTCTCCCTCTGAACTTGTGTACACAAGAGTCTGTTTGTATTATAAAGATTAGTACAAAAATATTGTTAATAGTGAAGCTTCAAGAGTTTGTTAGTTATGAAAAATATTTGCACACTGGGAATAATCTACAAGTAGCAGAGAACTTACTTACCACTGTCAAACCCATACTTTGCTTAATTATGCAACTGTTTGAACTAGAGAAAATATATTTATTATTTATTAGGTTGTGTGTTCTATCAGAAACTTGGTTCCTTATTGTATGTTAAAAAAGTCAGTCCAAGTATTAAGACAATTTATTTTATTATTGCAATTCTAGAAGGGTTAAGAATATGGAAGATGTTCTGGTTTTCTGCTCGCCTTGATCTAGGCTAGATAGACTCTTGCCCTATGGATAGTTTCACTTGGTTGTTCTCCTAGGAATTTGTTAGTAGCCTGCTGTTGAATTCCTAGGGGAATCCCCAAAAGTACAGAAACACCTATACTGCACATTATTTCTAAAAATATATTTACAGACAAACATATAAACAACATAATTTTGTATCGGTGGGCTCCCACACACTTTGATGCCTTTAGTTGAAGTGCAATGATGTTGAAATGGTAAACCTGTGGACCTGAATCCACATGACGACACATGAATTTCAAACACTAATCCCTCGGATCACTCTGTGAAACATTTTCACATTGAAGCCTAAGTTCTTCTGCAATAAATGAGGATGCATCATCAAATAAGGACATAAATATACACAGAAAACATTATATCAATCTGCACACAATTGTTGTACAAAAACTGGACATGCTCTATGTAACTTAATACCCAATGTGGTTTTAAGTGACTACTTTAACCTGCAATTATTAAGTATACAACTAGTAGCTTAGCTGGAATATCCGGATTGTGAGAAACATTCCTTCACCAGCGACTTTGGATCACAATCAATCCTTCCTCCATCTTAGTCCTGTTTGCTGTTAACACCTGCTAACGCTTGCCCCAGAATACCAGATGTTAAAGCAGTTATAAAAGCACGCTAAATATTTATGCTAATAATATTATTATTGTAGAAAATATAAAAGATTCCACTTCTCCTGAAAAAACTTTTTACATCTACTTCAATATATTTAGCAATTATTTTTAATCTGAAGTATTATTTTTAATCTGAAGTACCACTTGGCTTTGCAGAGGAATAATGGTGACTATTGGTTTAGCAGCACTTGGCTGACTTCCCGCCCCCACTACACAAAATGATACATTATCAGCTACATATTTATTTGTAACAGTAGGCATGCAGTGTTTCAGAATTCTAAGAATATATTTTTATCTGTTTTCAGGTACAGTATACAGTACAGTTCAGTACAACGACTGCTAAAAGAAATGTCACATATTTCATGCCATTACAGATGTCAGGGTCTTAAGAGATCCTGACATTCAGAGATCATGAACATTGTTATCACCATTAGTGCTGGAAACAGGCGTCACATCTTTGCTTTTATTGCAGGACGCGGAACTGTCATTACTGGTCGTCTGGAGCGTGGTGTTATAAAGAAGGGTATGGAATGCGAGTTTCTTGGTTATGGGAAGAAATTAAAGAGTACCATCACTGGTATTGAGATGTTCCACAAAACGCTGGAAGAAGGCCAAGCTGGAGATCAAATGGGCGCCCTTGTCCGTGGTCTTAAGAGGGACGATGTAGTTAAAGGCATGGTAATTGATTCGTTGGCTTGTTCAGTTGCCAGGTGAAATGTCATGTATACATTTTGTTTGTTCCACATGGACAGGAGCAAAGTTTTCGAATAATTTTACTGTTACTGTTACAATTTCTGTATATTGTACCATGAAATATTGCATGTATTTTTAACCCTACATTAGTATCCTAGGGTATTTTTACACCCCCATACAAAACCACCACCAAACAAAAGTGTTGTCTTCAACAACTTGCATCATGATGACAAATATATGCAAAGAATCACAAGACAGTGAAATATCAGTACAAATCTATGTTAAATTATATAAATAACTGGAGTGAATTTGCTTTAGTTTTTAGTGCTGGGGTAAGTAAACACTCCAGAGTATTAACTTACGGTGCATAGGTGAAGGAGGAAGAGAGTTGTAAGGATCAGGATGTGCAAGGGTAGAGTTGGGCAGAGGTGGTCAAGAAATTTGAATGGTATACATTAACTTTTAGCTTGTACATTTATGCCTTCATTCCTTAGTTTTCACTTGTCATAAGAATTTAAATTTTGGTCATATGTGCTTCCCTATCAGTGACTATGGGAAGTAAGATTAGTTCTTATGCCTCGCTTCTAAACCTTTAACTCTTGGAACACTAATGATATCTTTAGATGTTAAATTTGTCATATATTCTTGGTGTTTTGGATAGAATTGGCTTTGATCACTTCTTTAATGCATTCCACTTACCACTTTCTATGCTTAGTAATTTATTTATTCTATGCTTTTTCATAGAGAAATTGTTATGCTTATTAATTTTGTGTCCAGCTGTCACCTATTTTTCTTCTTGTTCTACTTTCCTTACAATTTAAATGGGATGCCCTTGCCCACCATGTCTGTTTTTCCCTCAGTATTTTGTACCTTTTGTGTCTAAGGTTATAAGGTAGAGTTCTCTTAACCTGTCTTCATTGCTAATTTCTCTAAATTTTTATATTAGTCAAGTTGCAAACCTTTGTACTTTGTAAATGTTTCTGCTCTGCTTCATGAAATGCAGATTCTAGGCTGTTACTTTATACCTTGATAATGGTTTCACATTATCCAGCCAATCCTCCTCTGTAGGTAGTACTTAAAGTAACGATGAGGCCCATAGTACATGTATTGATACAAAAGGCAATTAAAAAGTTGAAATTTAGTACTATTGGATTTCGACAAACCAGAAAAGTTTTTGTACTGATGTTGCAAAGAAAGGCTATTGTACAGAGGCCTAATTTAGCACATATATGTGCAATACTAGGCCTAGGAATATTTAAGTTTGGTTTTTGGCTTTCTTTTTTCTGACTAAAGTGAATCGTACCAATTTCTATCTAATTGTCTATTATGTATGTACAGTGTCCACAGTTACAAAAAATACTATCTTAACAGGAGGATAGTACTAGCTTGCATAGGCAGTGTGCATGCATTTCAGATTTTTAAAGGTAATTTTTATGTTTGCAAACTCCCTGTATGCTACTGACATTAACATGAGAAGCTCAAGTGAAAAGGATAGTCTCTTATTGTTATTAGTAGTTGCCTTTCCCTTATGGTGGTGTTTCATATAGATCTATCTTCTTGTCCCATCTTTATTGAATTTGTCAGGGTTTCCTAGATCACATTACAGTCTTCCTTGGTTCTTTATCTCACTAGTTCTGTATTGTCTTCAAACATTGACACGTAGGAGCTCGCTGTTTGTGGTAGGTAATTAACATTGATAAGAACAATGATCCTAGGACAAAGCCCTGTGGGACCCCACTTTCCCTTTTCTCTGGCATGACTTAATCCTGAATTGTTGGTGTTGCACTTGAGACCATGTTCCAGGCAACAGTATGAAGTGGTGTGGCATTCATTTAGCCTGATTTTTTCCCTTAGTTGCATTTCCTCAATTTTGGTTTCATTGGTTATGTTTTCTTAGGTTATGTTTTTCATTGGTCATTTTTTTCATTGGTTATGTTTTTCTTAAAAATATTAAGGGGTGCCTATTTTATGTCGCCTGAAACGCATTGCTGATTTTTTCAAGCATGTGATTACCAAAGAAAATATTCTGATCTGATAATATATATTTTTCTAATTGTATTTTTATGGAAGTTGAGATTTTTTTTACTTTCTGCTTTAGATCATGGCTAAACCTGGTACCGTCAAAGCTTACGATCATGTTGAGGCACAGGTGTATGTACTGACGAAAGATGAAGGAGGCAGGCAAAAACCTTTCACATCATTTCATCAGATGCAAGTCTACAGCAAAACTTGGCGTTGCTCTTCTCAGATTATTGTAGAGGATAAAGAGATGATCATGCCAGGAGAAGATGCCAAGTATGTTTCTATACATTTTTGTTATTGTTGAGTAAACAATTATACTAAATTTAACAATTTTATGATCATTTCCATGGTTCTCTTATTCTTGCCCATTGCAATGAATTTCCTATAGTCCTTTCACACGATTATGGCATTCAGATTATCTTAATATAGATTAATTTGCACTGTTAGCTCAAAAAATATAAATACAAGAAAGGATAAGTGGGTATAGTTAGAAGGGTATGGTTGTTTTAGATTAATATATAGCTAAATACTGTAGTTTTGTGGTAAGGCTGAGTGGGGGGGGGGGGTACAAGTAAATAAAAATATAATTGTAATTTGAGCATTGTACTGTATATAATTTATGGATTTGAAGACAGCACATGATGAATATTGATGTAGGAGGATTTGAGCATCTATAGAGTTCATACAATTTTATTCAGTCTATGAAACTTTTCTTGTAGGAAGAAGAGCATGTATAAAGTGATGGTTTCTGGTATTGACATTGATAGTGCATTGTTCAAATAAATATAAATAGATAAATTAAAAGTTATATATATGTATGAAAAGGCTTGTGAATGGATGGAATCTTTGCAGATGTCATGGGAGGAATATTAGAGAATACCTAAAGTACTAGTAATTTTTTATGCAATTATTCTAGTAGAGATTGTAATAGCCATGAGAAAAAACCGATATGTGGATGTGAACACGCGTCATATTTTTAAAGTGGGAAGAAAAGTGAACTCTGTACCACGGATAAATTGCAAGCATATTAATGTGTTTAAATACTGTACTGAGAAATGCAATTAACAAGAAAATTTGTGCATGGGAAGTTGAATGTTGAGCCAGGGAAGGCAAAATAGCCCTGCAGTGAAAGCTCTTGTTTGGAAGACAATGGTACTACATGATTCAGCCAAGTGGAGATTGTTTGTGAATGTTGCACGCGTTATGGCAGGAGTCTAAGGCTAGGTAACAATAGTCTGTTAGGACAAATTGCTGGTGTATGAAATATTCACAATTAAGCACTGTACACTTTGCCTTTTGTGCTTTAATTGTAATTCATGTATGCTTAGTTTTGCAATGTGTTGGGGTGTGGGTGATATGCATGAGTGTTAGTGCAAGTGTTCTCTGAATTGTACAGTCATTTGTAGACTTTTATTACATTTTGTATTCTTGGCCTTTGTATATACAAAAATATGGAAACAATATATTTATCTTTGCAGGCTCATTATTCGTTTGATGAAACCCATGGTTTTGGAGCAAGGTCAGCGGTTTACTCTTCGTGAAGGAAATGTCACAATTGGCACTGGTGTTTTTACAAACATCAATAAGAACTTAACAGAAGATGAAAGACAGCTAATCTTGGAAGGCAAAAAAGGGCGAGAGAAGCAGCTTAAAGCCCAAAGTCGGTAATTTGCAAAGACCACAAATACTTTAATAATGTTTGAATAGTTGACATTGATTTTGACATTTTAAGATTTTCTTAGCTTTGAAGGCTGGTAAGCTTTTCAAGACTTCATCAGTGTATTAAATTTAATATTAAAAATCTAAACCATAGAACAAATGCTGGAGTATGGATATATATAACTGTATAACCTTAAGTAAGGTATATTAATGCAGTAATCAATATGATACAAATGCTTGTGGTATTCAGTACATTTTAATTTGTATGAAAAAATATAATGTTTAAACTTAATGGTACAGCAACATAACAATGAGTTTCTTTCAGTAAAGACTGCAATTTTAAACACACTTTACAATGTGTAGAACACACTTCAGACTATTAAAATTGTATGAAATGCATAGTAACTTCATACAATGATTTTAATTGCAGATAAAAAAAAAAAATTCTTCTAAATTTTATTTGAATTTTGTTCAAATATGTAAGTTATGTGATTAATAGGATGGTATGTAAATCTTGTTGCAGTACTAATATTGCAGTTTTGTTGATGTATTGCCATTGGATCTGTTACCCAATGTGTTACAATGTAATTTTGTAAATAAATTGTTTTTTCCACAATACAAATGCATTCTCTCTGATTATTGAGAATATAACCCTAAGTCATTTCTACATGGAATCTGGGTTGTAAGACATTAGTAGAATAATAGTTAATCTTAAGATCTTGATTTCAAAAGAAATTGGTTGTAACAGTGGACCTTGTGGTAAGAGTCTGTGGTGCAGTGGTAATGTGTTTGCTCCATTCCTAGAGTGATTTTGACCGGGATAAAGCCCTGGGAAAGGCAGAGTTTACTGAGCACCCGTCTTTAATCCTTAGACAACATCCATGTCATTTGATGCATAACTGGTTTTTCCAATGTCAATTTGGAAAGATGATGTGTTTTATGATAGGAACTACAAGAACTAATGAGCACAACCATTAACTACCACCCTACACTTTAGTACATTCTTGAAGACCTAGGCAAACTACAGAAGGCCTAATGAGGGCGAGGAGGACACTCGGGGTGCAGCCAAGTACATAATCCACATATGTATACTGTAAATGGAAATGTCTGCTCAAGGTTGAAGAGTGAAGGTGGGGAATGGAGACAAGGGGGTTGGAATGGGGGGTGGGGGAGAGAGACTATCCTGGGCCGGGATATTTTTTTTTTGTTATTTAGATAAACAAGAGTTCTTACATTCTTGTACAGTCACTAGCAAGCATTGCGTTACAGGCAAGTCCTTAGTCCTATATACCCCAGAATACGACCCACCAAATCGTTTAACAACCAGGTTCCCATTTTACTGTTGGGTAAACAAACGCTACAGTTAAGGATTGACGCCCAGTCAATCCTCCCCTGCAGGATACGAACCCAGGACAAAGCACTCGCGAAATGCCAGGCGAGTGTCTTGCCACTACACCATAGGGATGATAGAGAAAGGGTAAGTTATCTTTGGATGATTTCGGGGCTTAGCGTCCCTACGGCCCGGTCTTCGACCAGGCCAACTTTTTGTTACACATCCCCAGGAAGCAGACCGTAGCAGCTGTCTAACTCCTAGGTACCTATTTACTGCTAAGTGAACAGAGGCATCAGGGTGAAAGAAACTGCCCATTTGTTTCCTCCTCCTGCTTGGGATTGAATCCGGAACCTTAGGACTACGAGTCCTGAGCACTTTCCTCTCAGCCGTCAGGCTGTAGACAGCGCTCAGGAACCACAAGTTGTCGGAAAACCTGACACCATTTAATAATATTACATTCAACAGGTAGATAATATTGCTGCTGTTGTATACATGAATTACCCTTAGAAAATGTAGCTTGTAGTGGAATTTTCCATCAATAGAAAACGGGATATCATTGCCACGTAGTACTATAAATTCACCAACTATTCTGTTGGGAATTATTCTTAAATACATAAGTCTTTGGACTTTTGCCATCATAAAAACATCACATATAAATTAACTTAATTATCAGTATCAAAATAAAGTAAATGTGACCCTTCTATCACTTACTGACATCTAGACAAAGTAGGCCAGTAGCATCAGTGAGTAAGAAGAGGTCAGCCATTGTTAAGACCAGAGGCGCAGGGGAGCAAATTCAGCTCCTATAATTTCTCTTGGACGAAGTGTTATGGAGATCAGAATAGTGTTCTACCATCATCAACACGTCAACATAATCAAGGGAAGTGTCCTACCGAAACCCGTTTATCTAATCATTTCTGGCCAGTTAAATGTTAGGTAGATAAGGGCGATCCAGTCAGAATGCGAACCGCCTCATAATAAAGGTAATTAAGCCTTGGTCCTTATCTCATCTATTATACAGTGTTTTCTCTGATATAGCTGTCATATTAGCATTAGGATTCTGGCTTTACAGCTAACGCCCTTTGACAGGAACAAGAGGAGGAAGCAAGACTTGATACATCAGTTACTGGGTGATGGAAGCTAGCCTCAAACGAGGATAATTTGGTGTCTACATCCCAGTTATACCTGGCGGACTAAGCCTGCTGTACAATAAGATAAGGAACCTCCTCAATGTATACTAATATATGTAGTTAATACTGTAGTTTGATTGGCTGCATATATATAAATTTAATATAAACCCCCCCCTAATGTGTAAGGATCGATTTGTGAGATTATTGCAGAAATACAGTCCACTTAACATCATACAAATTGCTATCGAAATATATAAATTAACGTAAATATAAATTCAATATAAACTCATAAATAAATATAAATCTCACAGGTCGGTTCCCACACAAGTACTTCCTGAGTGGAAGGCAGAGACAAAATCAGACAGTAGGTAGGAAGATGGAGAAGGGGATGGATAGAAAAATGGGTTGATATTCAAATGGATAGATGAGTAGACAAGTGGGTAGAGGAATGTATGATAAATAATCGCTAGGATAAATCTGAGAAAGAACTGGCCAATGCCAAATAATCTGTAGTTTATAATCTCTCCTAGATTATACTAGGAGAGATTAAAAGATAAGAGGCCGGACACTTGGAGCTAGCCTCGCCCAAATTTGCAGGCGAAAGATGAAAGTCTAGGGTACAAGATAAACAGGCTGCTTGTGGTAGACCCAAGTTAATTGCTTTATAAAATATAGCATTTATAAACGCCCATTGAGTCTAGTGTGAAATATAGGGTGCGTTTCCCCAAGAGTTTTTAGTGATAATATATCTCTTGCCTATTCTCTGGGTAAAGTGATTACCATGAGACACCAAACCCATTCACACACCTACTGGATAGTTATCTAGATATTTGTGATAGTTTGAAAGGATATTGCAGTTCCATTAATAGTCTGCTTGTAAACTGGCAACTGAAACATTTTGCTAAACAATATATTTTAGTTATAACTGTTGTATTAAATTTTTTTGGTATAGATAGGGAGTAAATAATGGCACAAATTAGTGGTTTTGAAGTGGATATTGGATACCCTGGACGGTACCTCCAGAGTACTGTCTCCCTGAGGACAAGTTATGATTTTCTGAGACTTGTTTCAAGAAATCAAATCATCTCAAAATAAGCGCCGTGACAGTACTATGGGCCTGGCTGAGGCAGTACTATGTTACAGGTCGTAAGTTGTTTCAATGCTAATAATTTGAGAGAAGTGGGGAGAGTCAGGTAAGGGGAAGGACCATGGGGTGGGGTGGCGGTGAGACAGGTGGGTGCCCGGCTGCATCCCTATAAACATAAATGGCAATAACTGTTCGAGGTTGGAAATTGAAATAAGTTTATTGAGATAAAATACACACAAAGGGATGAGGTAGTTCAAGCTATTCTCACCCCGTTCAGTACATCGTGTTAATACATACATATACACACATCACAAACAATGAACATATTACCAAACAACGAGGTTGGAAGGAAGAAGGGGTGGGTAGGGAGATTTGGTGACGGTGGGCGGGGTGGGGGGTGGGGAGAGAAGAGGGAAGCGAGGTTTATGAGAAGGGGGTAGGGGTGAGAGTAGAGACAAACTATCCCGGGCATTGCCGGATACCCCTCCAAGTGTGTGTGTGTGTAATTACCTAAGTGGTAATCTTACCTACAGGGTGAGAGCTATCTACGCTCGTGGGTGTGTGTATAAGAGAAGCAGTGGTTATTTACAAACCTCCCTACCCTTTCTCCTTTAGTAATAGGAGTCAGCAAGGGAGGAACAAGACGTGATGAATTTGGTTGAAGATTTAATGTTTGATAATAAAAAAGAAATAAAATATTTTTCTAACATACCCCAGACTATTTTCTGACCCTTGTCGTCTGAAGGAGCCAGGGAGAAAGATGTCTGGAGTCCATTAACAAAATAAGTATTTAAAATTTTTGCTTTCAAACTTCGTAGTAACTATTTCCTTTATTTTCATATTCCCACCAGAGTTAGCAATTGATAAGTTTTTAAAATGTTATCCCTTATCTGACTATATTTCACGTACATTTAAAAAAAGTTGGTTTAAATCTATTTGTTTAAGATATAATTCAGGGCGTGAAATTCCCGGGGTGAGAAAAGCTGACGAGTTGGTTTCAGATCCCAGCTGCGGACTGTGGCAGGTTTGACCATGTAGGTTGGTGGAACTCGCGGGGAAAATGAGGAGACAAAAGCTGTCCAAATGAGAGAGTTCCCCCGGGAGAAGGTTGCCGGGGTGTGTTGTTATTGAACCAGTCCGGGGCACAACAGGAGGCCAAGCCAAACTTGACACTAGTGTATATCTTTGGGTAAATTTAAGTTTGGAGTGTGAGGCTATAGACTCCTTGCTCATGATGTCACGGTACCACCGGTGGGAGTCTAATGACGAAGTTTTACAGTGTCGGATGCGAATAATGAACTGTACGTATTGTAGTTATAGCGCTGAGAATGGCAGTTGTCATATAACAAAAATTAGCGCGCTCTCTGCAACTTCTGTCTTTCGTATGAATTACTCGAAGGACACCCTCTATCTAATGGTCAAAGGTCCACTTTGACGGTGGCTTGTCAAAGGTCCTCCACTCTTCCTGAGATTGTTTCCAACTGGATTCTGAGCTACCGGCTTCGGCGGGCAGGCGGTTCAGTGGGTTTATAACTTAATGTGTGGAAAAGCATCTCCTGTTTTCCATCCTACATTAATTGTGGCTTGTCGAACTTGAAGCTGTTGCCCCTTGTATGCGTTACTCTGAACCTTTTAAAGGAGTGGTCTGGATTAATATCCTCCAACGGGCGAAAGATGCTGACGTGACATGAATATGAAGTCATATTTCACTTAAACAATTACAGAAGTGTGTGAGAAACTCGAATAAAGATCTTTACTATAGAGCAAGAAGTTACTAATCCGAGGCGGACACAATTGTCAAACCAAGGTGACCTGAAGATTTTGCCTTCAGATATATATATTGAATTTTATATTCACAAAAATGTTATTACGGGCTCACCATAGCCCGTGCTACATGGACACTTCGTTCTGAGTAGCTAAATCTAAAACAACAACAACAAAAATGTTACTTGTGCTACAGAAAAGAACTTCAGTCATATACAGATGGAATACAGAATATTGCAAAAATACATTCTGTACAATAATTGTACAATTACTCTATAATTATTTTGCAGATTTACGACTTTTC